TGAAGAATAATTAGTAATTAATTAATGAAATGTGCTTTTTAATATTCCTTTCAGCTCGCCAGTATATTTTTTATTGCCTTATTAACTGTGCTGCATCGTTGATCAGAAGTAGATGTATTGATTTCAATCAAAAGTAAATTTCAATTGAATCAAGTTCTTTATTAATAAATTGCTTACTCTATTAAAGTATAAAAATATATCTTACTTAAGTCAGATTATTCTTTCAAAATTTTATTTTTATAAAGATGGCAATAGTGATACGAAGTTGATTTATTGCATAATTTTACTTTGGTCAAATTTACATAGCATTGAAAATATATTTATAAAAATTTTTGTTTAAAAAACGGAATAGTAATTATTTACTATTTCTATATTGTATAAATATTGACTACATATAAATAGTCAAATTAATTTTTGAAAGTATGTATATTTATAAGAATTTTATTTGAAAAAAAAATAGTAATAATAATATCAAGAATATCATAACGTTCGTGTTTTTCCATTGTTTGGTGCATGTGCATTTTGCAACGGGATTATTCATAGGGCCATAAAAGGACCAACTCTCTGGTAATTTCGAATTTTAACTGACCAGGTTTGCGAGCTGACCTTTTTTCTTTCACGATATTCAGGCGATAGTTACAATGGCTGCGCAGATTATAGCACCTCCCTCTGTGTTTATCGAGGGAGAATTTCACGACAATTTGTGCTCGCTGTTTCAGCTATCAATACAAGCAAAGCATTTCAACGGGAAAGATAAACACTAGCAGCCGTTACTGCTTGGCAAAGTATACCCGAGAAAAGCCGGATATTTGAAAAGATAGGGATCAAGAAGGGATTAATTGTTAACGTAACCGTAGAAATCCATGAGGAGGATGTTCTTTATCGCGAACTGAATTCTTCAATATGAGAAATGTAATAAATAACAAAGAATTGTGGTTAAATTAAATTCCATGTGATTCATCATTCTTTATTCCAATTTCTATTTTTACCATTTTTTATCATAATTCTACTCCTCTTAAAGTTTCTTTATTGTTATTAAAAATATAAGGTAAATTAATTTATTTATAACAAAGTTTAAAATTACAATTTAGTTGTAAATTGAAATTACTGCATGCTAGTATCTTGTATTTTAACAGAGTAATTATAAATTTTAAATTAAAACAAATTAAAGCGTGATCATTTAAAATTGTTATATCCGAATTTTGATTCTAATTTTTAAATCTTGTAAAAATTACTGATCACTTGTTTTATATGCTTAAAGAAATGAATTATAAGTTATATGGAATTCAAATAATATGTAATGCTTTTATAGTAAAATTGAATAATAATCGAGTTACTTATTAATATTAAATAACAGTAAATCTTATAATAAAACTACCAAAAGATTCATTTAAAAAAAAGCAGAACTTATAGTCTGATTGAAAAGTTATTTTCATAGAAAGTACGGAGAATCCTTGGAGAATCCCCAAGAAAACAAGCTCGGTACTTAAAACGTTGTTCAAGTAATTAAACTTTTAATCGACCGATCTGTGAAAGGACCTGTTACAAAGTATAAAAATTTTGTAATTTTCTATATAATAGGAGAGTTATAATTTGAAATTTTATACTCTGCTGTAATTACATTATTTTTTATATATCACTTTTGCTACTACAAATTATTCGACTTGATTTCCCAGGGAAAATGGCGATATAGAGAAAGCAGAAATTCTCAAAATCTTCATTTTGCCGATATTAATATTAAAAGTAATTTAGAAAAAGGTAATATAATTTTTAATTATCGTACGTTATGGAATTTAGTTTACATCAGAAAAGTGCAAAGAACAAAGTAAATCAATTTTGCCACGTAAATATTTATAGGTAAGTGGTGGGGGGGCCACAGACCTATACAGGGTGTCACCTGTAACGTTACTCACGATTTTTTACCCACTTGCAGCCATCTGGCAAAAAAAAGTTTAGAACAAGAGTTGCAGGGTATGAAGTGCAGAATAAATATCAGTAAAAAAATGTCGAAAACAGTTTATTTTGGTGGCTAAATCAAGGTCACCTTGGGTTTTACGAATAGGAACACATATTTTTTTTTCTACCATATTGTAGAGGACATCGAGACGAATTCAAAACACATATTACATGATATTTTTACTAACATATTACTTGATTTACAAAAGTTGAAATGTGAAGTATTTAGCTTTTCGTCGTATTTGACTCTGACAGTGTAAACATTATTTCACCCCGAAGAGATTACTGTAAACACGCGTAATGTAAACACGCGACTAGAACATAAGAAAAATGCACTTTATTTGATTATATGTTCGAAATGCATACGACGAAAAGCTAAATACTTCACATTTCCACTTTTGTAAATCAAGTAATATGTTAGTAAAAATATCATGTAATATGTGTTTTGAATTCGTCTCGATGTCCTCTACAATATGGTAGAAAAAAAAATATGTGTTCCTATTCGTAAAACCCAAGGTGACCTTGATTTAGCCACCAAAATAAACTGTTTTCGACATTTTTTTACTGATATTTATTGTGCACTTCATACTCTGCAATTCTTGTTCTAAACTTTTTTTTGCCAGATGGGTAAAAAATCGTGAGTAACGTTACAGGTAACACCCTGTATATGTATAATGTGGGGCCATCTCCCCTTCTCCCCGCCATTTTCCTCGTGAAAGCTTAAGGGGAAAGGCGAGAGTCCGGGAAAGGGAAAGTCTGATTTCACGGCAGGTATACTACTGTGCGATGCTACACATGTGCTTTTCCACTGTGATGATAATGAACGATATAAATTGATTTTTCGATTTCTACCAACTACTTCATATTATTTATAAAATATTAAAATTACACAAATTCTTACGGTGCAATTTACTGCTAGTCACTTTCACAATAAACCTGTTAAAAAAACTTTGAGAAAATTAATAATCTAATATCGATCAAACTATGAAAGAGCTTTATTAAAAACCATGTCACCATTTATTGCTACGTATAGTCCATAACTGAAACAGAAAAAGTACAAATGAACAAGAGAATGCAGGCTATGAAAAATGTCCAACATACTCTAATAGAACAAAGTTGTATTTCACAAAAATGGCTTTGTATCAATAAAAATTCGTGTACTAAAATTTCAACGGAGCAATAGAGACATAATGGAATTTAAATGAAACAAAAAAAGGGAAAATGAATAAAGCGTACGTCACTAAAGTCAATTCTTTTATTAACGTTGTTGCTTCATTGTCAGGTGTGCGTAATATGAAAATATATTGGTGAGCGTTGCTGTTGCTGGTGGAAAGTATCGAACCCTGCATTCAACGCACGCGAATTACTTTCTAACGTGGAAAGGCCGTGGAAAATGCGACAACAGTTTTGAAAGTGGCATTCACCGACGATGTACGCAGCTTTATAGATATACCGGGCGCACGTTGCTAGAATAACAAATGCTCAGGAGACTGTTTTCTTTCTACGGTGTTCTTCCTCTGTACTATGCTCGCGATTTATCGTCGCCAGTTTCGCCCCGAAAATTGTTTCGGCAAGCTTTTAAAGCCTGTCCTCTTCTTCGTCGTTACGCTACGTCAAAGAGGAGACTTCATTTCCTCTTCTCAATAACGAGAACGCTTCTTTTATACGAAGAGATAAAAATGTTGTTAATACCATGTAAATGACATTTAACCGTTCTTTCAACTATTATTTAAACATTAGTTAATTTGTCAACAATTTTTATCATTTTTTCGACGTGATATTTTTCATAATACTTATAACACTAAACTCTAATTATTAGAAATAAAGATAGTTAATTTCCAAATTTCAAGTTTCAAGCTGTGTATTAGCTGCCTTACGTTATTAATGTAATAGTAATAGTAATTTTGTGATCTTAGATCTTAAAAATTTTTTAGTTTTCCAATTTTTTAATTTCCTAATGTCCTAATTTCTTAATCTTCCAATTTTCCAACGTCCTAATTTCTTAATTTTCTAATTTTCCAATTTTCTAATTTCTCAATTTTCCAATTTTCTAATTTTCCAATGTCCTCATTTCTTAATTTTCCAATTTTCTGATTTTGCAATGTCGTAATTTCTAAATTTTACGATGTTCTAATTCTTTGATTTTACTTATTATCCGCGTTCCTAATTCCCTAATTTCCTAATCTCCTAATCTTCTAACCTCCTAGATCGCCAACTTGCTAATCTCCCAATTTTCTAATTTTCTTATTTTCTTATTTTCTAATTCTCTAATTTCCCAATCCCCTAGGTCCCTACTCTCTTCCTTTTCTAATTTTCCAATTTGATAATTTCTTCATTTCATGATTTTCCAATTTTCCAATTTTCTAATTTTCTAATTTCAAAATCTTAGAGAAACCTGATCACCGATGATCCACTTGTATTTATTGTAAATTTAAAAAAGTTATGAAATATTATTAGCGTTAAAAATTCGTCTCGAAAGGGTTAACGAAAGTCTATTGTTTCTTATGAAAAAACAATATAGTGTTAACGTAAATTGATCATGTACGATCATAGAGCATAGAAAATGGTACAGGACGATTTATTAACACAATGGATAACCGTAAACTTCAAAACAGAGTATAACGGCTGGAGAGTATGGAAAATACTTGGAGAATTCTCCTTTCTGTCACCGCATCCACTTTCTTTCACCGACGCCAGTTTGTGTTTCTCAGTAGACCGGTAAACATTCGCGCTTTATCCAGCTAGTCCAGTACGAAAATGCGACTGAACCACACTCGCTTGGCAATAAAGCATCTCCTGTCCAAAGTGTCAGTGGTATACGAATCGAAATATATACAATCCGCCCGTTTCCTCTTTCCGCCCGCTCTCTTTCTCGCTCCTCGTTTCTTTTCGTATGGGGAGCAAGGCTAGGTAGATGGCAGTGATTAATCGTGTAAGGGTCGGTATTCTCGGCACACAACGAGCGACGTGTTGCTCTGTACCTACGTACACCCGGAAAAAACCGCTTCAAACGATCCTCTCCCTCTCTATTCGGCCGTATTTCAACTTCTTTCCCCTCTCATTCACCCCGCCGCCCCCCTCGCTCATTATTTCCCCTTCTGATTTTTTTTCCCTTCTCTCCGACGCTCGGTTTCAGTACGCCGTCCTATCCATTTCGCTGCCGCCGATGTTGCCTCTGCAAACAAACACTAAACAAAAAGCGGAAGGAACTGAAATAATAACGATTTCAAAACAGCATCAAGAATCATTGTGCTGGATAACTATATCGAGTGCGTGTATACCTTGGGATTATTTGGACTCTGGATTTAGAATCATAAAACTGCATTTCTTTATTTTCTTTTATTTATTTATCGTTGTTCTTGGCTCTATAGGATGCTCCTTTTGTTTACACTGTACTTCAGAAAAATGTATTTCAATTTTAAAATAAGGCCTAAAGCAAAATTTTCTTAAGTTTAGTATTACGCTTTGTTAGTTACTTTTTTAAATTTGAATATTTTTCCGCGCTTTTATGTGTTCAAAAAGTGGCAGGAAAGTATGATAACTTTCGGGGGGGGGGGGGGGGGGGGGGGGAAGGATCAGCTAACCTTTCTATTAGGAATTTATGAACCTTTTTGTTAACCCTAGGCTGGCACACTTCACCAGAATAACATGGCTGTCACACTGGGACATTTAAGACCCCAACCACTGAAATATCTCCTGCGAAGAATGTATTCGTTATTTTAACTTAAAAAAATTCCTAGATAATCTTTGACAACTAATTTTGGTAAAATTAAATAATTGAATATGAAAAAAAATTGAAAAACGTAGAAAACTCGAAAAGATGAATTTTCATAAGAAAATTTATAATATTTTTAAATTTTCACATAAAGAGCTAAAATTTTAGCTAGACACTCTTGAAATTGAACATTTTAAGGGAAAGAATAATACAAAAGTCGTGGTTTCAAAAAAGATATTTATTTGGAGCTGAAGAGACAAATTTTAGCCAAAAGTGGGTTAAATTGAAGCTGAATTAGCTGGAGTCGTCTCATATTCCACAGTGCCAGATAAAGGTCAAATAAATACTATTTTATCCCCTAGTACCAAAGAGTAAGCAAAGAGTAAGTTAATACGGTATTTCGGAAAAATCGAAAATAATTTAATGCTCATGTTTGCAAATCTGACAGATTACCGATAAAAGCAACACGGCGTCGTACTCACCTGTCAAATATGTATATCGAGAATGCTTGATCATACTAGTGAGGTCCTACACTTAAAACTTGTATTTTCAGCTATTTTTCATCAAAAACTACAAAGTTGCAAAAGAAAAAGAAAGAACTTCAACCCTTTTCTTATATATAAAAAATTATACTTAATATCATGATTCTAACAAAGTTAACCAAAATTTCGTTAATCTCCTTATCAGCTAATTATAGCTACGTCACTGGGAACTTTATCATGCTCGGTACTGTACAAGGTTAACTTCGAAATTTTCTAAACATCCCTCTTCTTCACGGTATCGCTTCGTCCGTAACTTGATCGACTTTTCAGGTAAGTAATATTATGTACGCGGAAAAGCTATTTACCAGCGTAGAACCGCCAAACCGTGGCAGTATTTACAGTCTAAGAAGATTGTGTCCCCTATGTCTACCTCTTCAAAGGAAACGCGAAAGTTTGCACAGTTCGTTCAAGCGAAAGGGGTGAGGATGAACGTGGGGTGCTCGGCCGCCTACAATAGGCGCCTAACAATGAGTTTACCGGCGGCAGCCGACAGACAATTTCGAGTAAACTTACAGAACGATGGGATTCGTTATCCCAGTTATGAGCTGCCGTTGCTGCTGCTTCTGCTTCTTCTTCTTACGTATATAGAGGCATCGATCTACAGGCCATAAGAGACGGCAATAGCGTAATGGCTTGATGATTTAAGGACGCAATTAGGCAAAGTGGAAGGTTTCGTGGAAGTTGAACGTACCCCGAGCAAGTATTCCCGGGTGTTTTCGTGAAGGTACTAATTATCATCTCTTGGGTAGTTTTTTTTTTTCTTTTCCCCTCAACTAGTCGATTTTTGTAACGAGCTTTTTTTCTCTACGCTTGCAACCGACGAAGACAGTAATTGCCAAGTCTCCGGTGAATATGTATATTGCTTTTGTGTGCTATGAGGCTGGATGAAAGTACTCTGTCCTGTCCTTGCTCTGGAGACTGCGTTATCCATTACCGCTCATGTAAGAGAAAATTTAAATGCACACCAGCGACTTTACACCTCGTTCGCCATCAGCAACCACCCCTGGCATTACCCTTCGGCTGACTTTATTCCAGGAATGTGCATATAAATGTTGAAAGATCATTGACACCTTAAAGTATTGCTTCGCTGCAGAATGATAAATTAAAAAATTGAATAATTATATTTTTAAAGATACAAACTAAAGATATAAAGATTAAAAAATATTCTGTTAATTACAATATTTTTTATTCTAATGGTGCAAACTTGTCAAAATCAGTATATTTCTTGTTATGTCAAAACAATTGATAAAATATAATATTAAAAATTTTAAGAATAAAATAAAATAACAGTTAACCGTTGAACAGCGGAATTTGGGTCAATCAACAAAACACATGGAATACAGAATTAAATTAGAATTGGAGCTCTCTCCATGGTCCGTCGTCTGGGGGTTAATAGTCATACTGAGTAAAAGTGCAATATTAATCAATTCCCATTTTTAGAATTATTATACATATAATATTGAATATATGAAAAGAGATTAAAATTGAATTAAAATTTTATAAATAATAACAAATAGATTCAACTCTGTTTTAATATCAAGTTAAACAAAAATATATTAAAGTTAAATTTCAATTTATAATGAAATACTAAAAACTATACATTATTAGTTTACTAATTTTTTACTGTATATTCATGAGAAAATTTTTACTCCTCTCGATTCATAATTTAAGTATCTAAAGATTTAGCATAGTAATGTTCATGAAAGAATCATTTTGCAATGGAAATTAATGAGCGTACGTACAAACTGATGTGTAAATAATGAATATTCAAACTGACGGGAATTTTACTTCTATTAAAGTTCCACAACTCTTGCGAACGCGCGTTGCATACGTATATGCACACGGAGCTCTCAAAGACATCGTTAGATGGAGGAAAACGATCGGATCATGTCCGTTCTCCCCTACGAGTGTACCTATTTGCTTTTCTATATAAAGGGACGAGGGTCAATAGAGTTTCACAGAGGATTTCTTGCGAGAGCTTACGGTTCTCCTTTACGTTCTTCGTCCCCACTTCTGGATCAGCGAGATTAACGAGTGTTTCGAGGTAGCATCAAGGGGTTACCTATCTCGCTCTTTCTAGACATTCCGCGGCGGCAGTACGGCGTCAGTTACTGTGGCGCCGAACTGATAAAGTCGTTCAAAGATGCACATTCTATAGGACATTAACTGCTGCGTATGTAACGGGTGTATCTCTGAATGTTGTAACATTCATCTCTTTACATTGAGATCTTTTTTTAACGTAAAATGTTAAAAATTGGGGAATTTATGCATGGAGATGTACAGGTTGTTGATCTCGCAAAGACTGCTAATCAAAGCAGGGGCATCTTGATTAATTAAATGTGTAATAAAATTTATTTTTGTGGCACCATTTGAGGAATCCTAGAATTACATATGGAATTCTAATAATAAACATGTTTACTATTTTATTTACTTTTATTGCCTTTCAAAGAGAGGGAAGGCAATTTTAATGAAATTTATTTTTACAGCACCATTTGAAAAATCCTAGAATTACGTATGGATTTTTAATTATAATAATCTTTATTATTTTATTTACACTTACTGACTTTCAAGAGGAGGACAGGCAATTTTAATAAAGTTTATTTCTATGGTACGATTTGAAGAATTCTAGAATTGCATATAAAAATATAATTATAAGAATGTGTACTGTTTTATTCAAATCCATTGACTTTTAAGGGGAGAGAGAGAGACACTTGTTTCAAACTCGCATAAAGACGGCTTATATGTAATCGATAACGCTGATCATCAGGAATAAAAGATTTTTTTAAGATTACAGAAATATAATAGTCATTTTTCCCAGAAATTATGGGAAAGTTATAAGGTTTTGAAGATTTTGAATTTCAAAAACTCTTCATCTCCTTTATGTACATACACATAGCATAAAGTCATCCTTAAAAATTATAGATATTTCTTGTATGGTACTTATTTCAGCATCAGAAATTGTAACAATTTTTCTAAAATTTGAGCCATTAATAGGTATCTATGTAATTTTATCAAATTCAATCATCACAAGAATCATAAGGCAAAGGGTTAATTATATGATCAGTGAAGACTCAGAAAGTGATGATACCATTGCTTATCGCAAAGTCATTTGAATTTACATGCTCATTAACCACACGTCCAATTGCGTGTTCCGTAACGCCGCGCCGCACAAAGACTCTACTGAGAAATATCTTTCCTCTAATCGCAGAACGGGTATGTGTTTGCAGATTACATTTCAAAGGAAACGCTTATGCAGTACGCGGCTAAACGAGAAAATAAATAAAGAAAAAAAGGTATAGTCGATTTATATCGAGTACGTACTTCAATTGCTCGTGCAAATACGGGAAAACTTGCAAGTACAACCTCTTCGTTAGCATTCTATTTTAGTTCCACCGAAGGCTTAAGGTTATTTACAAAATATAAAATATTCATTGTTCGAGAAATGAGTTTCCATCTTCTGAAAGTTGAAAATAAAAAAAAAAATTGTAGTCAGTTTTGTTTATTAAAAATATTATTGTAATACAAAGAAGCAGAAAGGAGAAGGAAAATTTACATATTTATTATTTACCTGCTTTAATTCTTTCTTGTTAAATAATTTATTCATTTTTGCAGGATTTAATCTTTAACGCTTTGATAGTCACACATTGGATGGAATCTATGACACTTGTAATATTAAACAAGTTATTAATCAAATTATTTTAGAATATTTCATTTAATGTATGCTATGAAATTATTAGTTTCAAATTATTGGTATCTGAGAAAATGGATAAGAGTTAGGAAAAGAATAATGATAACGTTGACTGTTAAAATTTCGGGTTAAACTTTGATTCCAGGGACATAAAATTATTGCCCTTTTTTCTTGCTGTTTAATAGTTTTTGACACGTAGAATCTATAAACGTAGGTCGTAACTTTAGGAAATTAGCGGTTCAAAAGTTATGAGTATGTAAAGTTTCGCATTTTTAGGGTATTTTACACGCTACTTTGACGCCATGTTGCTTCCATCTATTATTTGATTGGCCCGCATAGATGAACATTCGGCGGCCATTTTGGCGGGATAAATCAAATGTTTCATTTGAATTTGTTTCGCACGTATCTTGTTTTAAAAAACAACAATTATTTTGTGTTCTGTCTATCGTTTTATCTACTTTCGCTCTCCGCCAATCGCTTTCCACTTCGTTTGGGAGTATCGCCAATCAGGGCGAAGATGCGCACTGGGGATGCGCGAAGAACGAAAACTGGTCTTTTCGCAGTTATGGATTCTGGTGAACTGCGGTACAGATATATCTTAGCTCATTGGACGAATTACGGATAGAAGGCAATATGCCATCGACATAACCTCTCACAATATGCTAAAAATGCTCAGCTTTACAGACACAATATTTGAACACATGAACGCCTAAAATTAAAGCTTGAATTTTTGAATGTTTCTTATCGAATACTATTAATTTTGCGTTTCCCAAAAGTAAAATTCAGTCCACATCTGACATTTCAATTTAAAATGAAAATTCAATTTTAATCTTTCATCAAACGATCACCTTGTAAAAATCTCGGTACCAGATCACCATTAAATCCGATAAAGCAGCACGGACGACCGGTAATAGAGTGTTTAAAAATCTTTTACACCATCACAGGAAAGCTCTCAATCTAACAGGTCTCCTTTATCATTTTCAATTTATCAGAAGGACAAATCTATCTCCGAGAACACCTCCGAAGGTATCCCGAAAGCTGGTTTAATCCCGATAACCTCCTTTAAAGATTTCCGATTGTAATCGCTACGTTTACGTGCAGACGTCCGAGCTAAGGTAACGTCAATACGTCCCCATAGAAATGACTCGTTTCTCTTGCTCATTTTTTCCTACTGTCTCGTAAATTGGGCGCGACGATAGAAATCAGGAAACGCGACACGAGTTGGTCGCAGCTTCTTCGGCTACGTTCAGTTGGCACCGTTCGCGTGAAGTAGCTAGATCTTGTCCACGAGATATCGAAAGGAAACGCACTGCGATAAGAAGCTATTCGACGATCGCGAATGTGTTTCTCGTTTCTCTGCTCTTTTTTTTTCTCTCTCTCTCCATCTCTCTCTCTTCACTCGGTTCTGTGTATTTTCCGGAAGCTGGTTTCGCGAGAATGAATGGACACTATCCAACGTTGAATCTGAAACACGCCGTTCGGAATGCTTTGCTCGCACGGGCCCGGATAATTTCTCCAGTTATCGCGATGCTCCGGTGGGGCTTTTACAAAAACGGTTACTCGACGATGAAGATAAAGAGGAGGCACGTTGAAAAAAACTGTGTGCTCTTTTCGACGGTGAAAACAGTTCGCGCACACAGAGAGGCCAACAGCATGAAAAACCCAGTGCACAATCTACTCGTTAACGGAGGAATTGACTTTCAATTAGCGGTTTTAGTCGAGAATGGGAATGAAATACACGCCGCTGTTCTGGTTACCATATCACATTGTCAGTTACGCAAATATTGTTGCTGTTATCACTCGATTTTCTGCCGGTGACAGTATAGTTTTCGGCGAAGATTTAAACCCTTTCGTGACCAACGGCACATACACGTCCTATTTATGTATCTGTTTAGAGTTGCACCTGAGGGGATGATAAAAATTCAATTCTTGTGGGGTCTATTCAATTCTGGATAAAATGTCATTTGAGATAAAGAACAAAAATAGTTTTAGAAAATTATTTTTGTTATTGTGCTGGCTTGGATAATTTGAAATAAAATTGTATTATTATATGAATTATTAATTGATTTTTTTACATTATGAGGAAATAATATTTGGGGATGGTAAAAATTCAATTCTTATGAGGTCTATTCAGTTCTAGGTAAAATAGTATTTGAAATAAAAAGTAATATAGCTTTATAAAATTATTTTTTGATTATGTTGAATTGGTTAATTTGAAATAAGATTGCATTCTTATGTTAATTAGTAATTAGTATTTGGGAGAGTGACGAAAATTCACTTTCAGTGGGGTCTATTCAATCTTAGGTAAAATCGTATTGTAAGTACTAATAGCATATGGAAATCATTTCAGAAATTATTTCTTTGAGTGTTTTTTTATTGGTTACTTAATATTGCATTTTTACATTAATGAGTAATTAAGACTGTAATATTTTTAATGTGTAATTATCTGTACATATGTAAGCACAAAAGTAATGTTTATTATCATTTTTATATTACAATATGTAAATATAAAAATTTCAAAAGTAAAAAAGTATTCCTTTATGTGAATTTGAAATGACTGATCTGTTATTTCCAATACATATACGTATAAACAAAAAAGTAATTTATATTACAATTTTAATATTGCAATAAGTTTCATTTTTATCCGATTTCGAAAAGGAGGAGGATACTCAATTCAATGTGTATATATTTTTTTTTTACATTTTCAAAATATTGACGTTTTACAATAGTATGCCTGAATTTAAGAAACTAAAAATATTTTGTAAAAATCTGAATTTCTACACCATTCACTTTTCTCCAAATATTCAAATATTACAGTATGTACCATCTTCTATCTAGAAAAAAAACACAATAGAAATGTTAAAATATAACAAATTCTGTCAAATTGCTCCATCACTCTGTTCCTTGACTCACGTTATATTTTTAACAGAAATTAAATATGAAATAAACAAGCAAAAAGATAAATAAAGACAATGAACGATACAGTTGGCGTCCGCCGTAGAATTTACTTTTATAACGCGAAATTAAATGGAATGACGTCTCAGTGCATTCGTGTATAAAAAAACCTGCTCCCCGTACAATACACGCGTACCGACGTTAATTGTTTATGTTAGGCGTACAAGCAAAAGTGGTGACAATGCTCCATGGCAGAAATGTTTCAAAAGAAATGTTCCGTACATTTATTACCCGGCGGAAAAATTCCACGGGAGGTAATTAAAACGCAACGACGTTCTGTGACGATCTTTTAGCTTCATACAGATCATGAAGCAGCTAGGGGGAATGAACAGGAATCTTCCTCTTTGGTATGTCAGCAACTTATGCTTACAAAAGTATTATTTTATTATTCCTTTAGATATTAAAAGTAACTTTAATTACCCAATGTAAAGCGTTTAGAACTTGCATACATGAAAATTTAATAATAATAATAGTTAAACACAGAAACATTTATGGTAAGAAATATTATATACTGTGAATAAAATTATTTTGTTTATGGTTATTTGCTAAATTAGATAATTTAAATATTATTTTATAAACGCCTTTACTGTTAAGGATATTTATGATAGTCTAATACAAAGCATTTTAAAATAACAAACGTATAATAGAAATTAAAAAATTACAAAACAGACAAAAAATGACAGCACATACTGCAAATAAGATTTGAAAAATGAATTAAATTCGGTAATTTAAGTATATTATTTTATTAACCTTAGAGTATTTGTGATTTAGTAGTCATGGTGAAAAAATTAAATATAATATTCCCAGCAAAAGTTATTGGAAATATTTTGTTTAAATATAATAGTATTTGGAAATGTATAATATTATAAAACAAAAATGTTTATTTGAATCTCAGTAATTGCCATTATTGACCCTCGAATTTTAAATTACTCTTGTATTTCACATTATTTTAATTATCCAAATTTTACACTGTTGCTTTAAACAATTATTCTTTCAATATATGAAACTGTTTCATTTAAAAATTATATATTCAACTTTAGGTTAAGACCATTTCTTTTTTTATATACTTGCATTAAAAATATCTCTAAATAACGTATTAGATACAATTTCAAAAAATAATACTCAAATGTTATATTACACCTACTATTAACCATGTGACGGGTTACCGCCGGGGGTTTGCCGGCTCAGCCGGTAAGTCCGGGGTTCAGGTGAACGAATAAAGCAAAGTCGGTTGGATATAGCTGAAAAGAATATGTATTTAATTCTAAGATTACAATCTAACTTAAAACTACGGCCCTGGGTGTCCTATCAGTCTAACGATCTTACAGGTAGCGGTTCTTAAAACTAATGGTATCGGGCGGTCAGGGTACGGTGTGGTTCGCTCGCGGTGTCGAGCGGGCGCGGCACGGGTGATCGCGGTACGGCGTGTTCCGGTCGCGGTGTCGAGCGGCCACGGTACGGTTCGATCACGGTGCGGAGTGGCGGAGGCGGGGCATAAGCACAACCCGTCCTGACGAACGTTGCTGGAGGAAAAATCGTATCTGATCGTGTTTCGTATTGCTCTTTCGAGGATTCGCTTCCGAATACCGATCTGGCTTCTATCACCTCGCGGCCCGGTATATCTTCGCTCGCGAGGCCGTTCGCCTCGCGAGTTCGCGGCGCGCGCGGTCGCCCCCTGTCGGCGGCGCGGGTACTAGCGGCGCACGTGCCGGGGCCCGCGGTTTCGCGGCCTCGTACTCTGACTGAGTTGCATTGAACTTGTCGCAGTGAA